TGCACCACAACCACTGGCTCCTCCCCAGCACTATCTACCAGCCTAGCTAAAACACGCGTAATGTCCGCTACCTTTGCACCAGGTAGTGCAACAGTGTGCAAAGTATCTTCCTGGTTTATTTGCAACTGATTTCTTTGTTTTCTTCAAAGATTTTATATTGACCTTCTAACATCTGAATTCTGTCAGTTATTTCTTTAATTTGTTCCAATTTTCCCCTCTTTTTCTTAGAAGCAATCACAATTAACTTTCCTTTCATATATACTTTACTTGCTTCCCAGATATCTGCCATTGAGAAATCTTCTATAATATTTAATTTAAAGAATTCCTATATATCCTGTTCACAATTTTTAAAAAATATCTTCCTGTTACCAGAGATTCATTCTCCATCTTCTTCTTATAAACATTTCTCTTTGCCATGTGACCAGTTGTGGATTGTGATCACCAACTGTCTTTAGTTGGATTTTGATGGATCTCAAATTTGAGTATGTCTGGTGTCTCTTGAGTTAGGATTAAGGGTTCTCCACAAATCTTCTAAATGTAACATTTGCATATAATTAAGGTAGTTTACCTCCTTTGGATTTTTTAGATTTATCCTTTTTTTAATCTAATACTCCATTCATGTCACCAAAAATTAAAATTTCTCCTTCTTGGAAGTCCAGAAATGTTTGAAAGGATTTTTCGTAAAAATTTTCTTTTGCATTAATGGAGCATAAATTGATGCCAATGTAAAAAGTTTATCTTCGGGAGATCTTATTTTTAAAAGACTATATCTTTCTTCAGGGTCCTATAACTCTTCTGTTACAGTTAAGCATTGGTCACTTATATAGATCACAACACCTTTTATTTTCTCATACCTGAAGCTGTATAAGCTTTGCCCAACTTTTTGTTGTTTAAAATTTTCTCATGCTCCTTTTTAACATGAATTTCTTGCATACGGATTATAGATAAATTTTGTTTAGTTAACCACTTAAATGTCTTAAGATTGTTTTGAAAGGGAATTTAAGCCATTGAGATTTAGTGATAAAACCTTCATTGTATCCATTTTTATCAGAAAGCTGCAGCTTGGTCAAGCCTGTCTTCTTCCTTATTCGGAACTTCTTTTCCCTTTCCTGATTCTTCCAGTTCCTCCAGTACTTTCCCAGTCAATTCTTTTGCTATAAGATTGACCTGTTCTATTTCGAGATTATTCTTCTGCCTGTGGATAGTGAAACTTCCAAAGCAAATGGGATTCTCCAGCGATATCTTATTCCTTTCTTTTGTAAAAATTTGCCTGAGAAAATCAAAATCTTTTCTTCATACAGATGCAGGTAGATCTTGAAATATTTATACTTCTTTATCAGAAACTACAAGTGGGGAATCTCTTTGCTTATTCAATATTGTGTCTCTTGTTTTCTTGTGTGTAAATATGACCAATATATCTTGGGGCAATAAATTCTCAGAAGCAAATCTTGAATTAACTTTATATATTTGATCAATATCAGGAAAATCTCCTTGAATCTCTAAATAATCCTGTAGAAGCTTTAAAAAGTTGTCTTCTAGGTCTGTATTGCCAAAGTCGTCTGGTGCCTCTCTAAAACATAGATTACAATTTCTGCAGTGCTCCTCCAACCCTCAATCTTCTGGTCAGCTATTTCTTGAAGTATATCTTGTGCTTGCTGCTGCAATTCTATTTGTGTTTCTCCTTAATTTTGCCAATTTCTTCAGTATGTTCTTGGAGTTCAGTTTTGATTTCTGCAAGTCCTGTTTTTAATTTGCTGTTTGAGGCTTGCAGTTTCTTGTTTAATTTCTTGTTTAATTTTTTCTTGTGTATTTTGCTCAGATTAGGGTATTTGAAGAGTAACAGTTTGCATCTGTTGAGTAACTATTTGCATTTGTTCAGAAAATGTCTCTGAAAGTCTCTCCATATAGTCTATGATGTCAAAATCATCATCATCTTGTTGTTTCTTTTCTTCTCCTTCAGACAAGTAGCCGCCATTCTATGTTTTCTAAACCTTTTTCTTCCTTCAAATATATCATGCATTTTTTTCATTTATACATTTACAGATTCAACTTAGTCATTTTCAACTTAAAAACAAGTATTTCAACAAAACATATTTCACTTCTTATACTTTCAAATATTAATTGATTTATATTATAAATAGCCAACCATGTAAACTAAAGTCTATACCACTAATATGTTAATTATATTAAAAGGAAAAATTGGAAAAACCAGATTTAATCTAGTATTAACACAAAAGAAAAGGCTCAATATTACTACTTTATTCAATAAATGAATATAGATTAACACGGAAGAAAATGAAAAAATTTGGTGTTATTGTTAGTTTAGTTAGTATAGGTAAATGTTTTGAATTCAAAACAAAAAATATTGCAAAAAATATGTTAAATATTAGTATGTTTTAGTAAAGAGAATAGGTATACATTTTTCCATCCATTAATTGTGAAGGGAAGAGAGAGCAAAATGCAGTTGAAACTTTGACCAGTAGGTGTCTTCAGAATACATTAATTTATCAGTTCATGCAGTATCTTGTTTACAGTGCTTGCTTTGGCAGAGAGTCAAAACTATTTTCCCAGAGAAATTGTAGAAGAGCAAGAGGTAAAATAAAGAAAAAGTTCAATTTACTCCTTATCTGATCTTAATCTACTCCAGAAAAATATCCGATCAGCACAAGTAGTACTTAAGTATTATATAAATATAATGCTGCATCCACTGAGAAGGGGGGAACCCTTAAAAGGAGGGAGGAAACCTCACAGGTCCTGCGGGTGAGGGATCGTCGTGGCATATTCCATGGCTGGGCTGCCCGGGTGCGAGCCACTTACAATGGGCTATGCCCCGGGGGCCAGGTGCATTGCCCATCTTACGGCAAGGGTGGGGTTTTAGTGACCCCAGGCTTGACCATGCTGCTTCATACTGTTAGCCAGGGGTCATTTGGGGGGGGGACGCGGGGGGACGCCATCCCCCCGGGTGAGGTGCGGGAGGGCGGGGCCTGGAGCTCCCTGCTGGTGCCTACTGGAGGTCGCCGCCGGCTGTGGGGAGGACACACTTCCGGTGATGTCAGGGGGTGTGGCATATGCTAATGAGTTATGCTAATGAGTCCCCCTAGCTCTTTTTCTACGAAATGACCCCTTCTGTTAGCCCTTGCCATTGTTTTGTTAATAAAGTGGCCTTTAGTTTCCCAACTACTGTTGTCTGACTCTTTCTTCCGTCTATGGGGGGGAATACATTTCTGAGAACCAATCCCTTGAAACCACATATTGAACAAATGTGTTTCTTCAAATTGTGCTTGTGTTTATTTTTACAGGATGAAAGGTCCAAGTTTCCCACCAGCATGTCCTATACTGCTTGAACAAGAATTTTAATGTTCTTTTCCTTTATAGCTTTTTTTGACAACAGATTGCTGGGCAGGAGGGAGAACAGTGACCGGGTTTGCTTTGCTCATTCTAATTCCTGATCTTCCTAGCAGGGAACCCCTGCTTTCCAACCCAATGTGAAATTAATTAAATTGTAATGACTTATGAGTGATATTCTTTTATGTTCGCAGAAAAACATACTGAAACAGAATTCTCCACAAAATAGTCACTCCAACCCTCTCCTCCTGCAGCGGCCATGCTTACTAGTGTTGGATGCTAAAAATAGAACTAGGCCAGTGGCAGGAAGGCTCACTAGAGAGCTGATAAACATAACTCCTCCTTGAAAAGTAAATGGAGGGAGGGGGGGAACATTTGCTAACATCCATTCTAGCCCATTCCTTCAGGGTCCACATGGCCCTACAGGCCTTTTCAATCTATCCAGTATCATTTATTCAGTAATCAGCAATTCCGTACCTTTCAGACAAGCTTCCATTTAGATAAATGTATCTATCAGCTCGCTGGCTTAAAGAAACAAACCTACTCCTACTTCTCTCTAAGGAAGGTTTCAAACATTGGTGGGCACCCAGCTGTTGTGTAAATAAGCATCACCTCACACAGCCTCATTAATTTTACATCCACTCAGAATCTTGCTCCTAGTTTCTGTTTGGAAGGATCCATCCAGCTACAAGCAGGGCAAAAAGTTGCAGTGTCAGGAAGCATACTCATTTGCTTGCATTTTGCCCACCACCTATTTGTGCATGCAGAAAAAACCTTGAGATGCTCACTGCTTCCCTTTCATTGGCACCATGTTAACACAATAGTCCTGTTGGATGTCCATTTTGCATTAGACCAGGGAACGTGTTTCATAGTAAAATCCCCTTCCTCAGCACAGTGAGAAATTCATTCTACAAGGCAACATTTTATTTGCAATAGCAACACTTTCCCAACACAAAATTCTAAACAGGAAGAGAGATATTGAGCTCTTCTACATGTCATCTGTTTTAGCAGAACACTCAATAGGGAAATTTTGGGAAAGATATGCCATGACTAAGAAAAAAACACTAGAAGCATCCATCATCTTGTCTTATAATAAGTGAGAGAAGAGCAAATATTCTTGCAATTCTAGACTGCCAGAAATGTCCACATCACAAATTACTGCTCTTCACTGTGTCCCCACACCTTAAACTCTCCCTCCTCTGTCTTTGCATCCTTGAAGCCTTTACATATCCATAGTAACTTGTAACTTCACAATGAACTAAATAGCTCATAGATGGAATCCTTCAAATGAACCAACAGCTAACTAGAACCAAGCCTTACAATTGGAACAAGAAGTAACATGATAATTTGGCAAATTCTGAGCCAAACTAGACATGATAGTACCCACAGGAAACAGTGTTCCAGCAACTGAAAAGACACAGGAGAGGGACAATATCACTTGGCCCTGCTGCTCTGTGGGCCCTATCAATATTAGGCCCTCACAGTATTTTCCAGTGGCCAACGTCAACCTTAAAATGGCATCAACGCCCACAGGTCAGACCCATGAATTCCATAACATCTAGTTTGGCCCTCTGATACCTAAAAGTGGCAGATCAAGCCTTATTTGGGTGTCCATTGTTGACACTTCTCAGAAGTATTAATAAAGCTTTGCTTACCTCTGTGATGTGTGGTGTGGGGTTAAATCCACAGAGATTGCATACAACATTATTGCATTCTGTGCATTTCTGGTAATTGGAATGATCCTTGGAGCCCACATTGAGTGCGGTTTTACAGAGAGGGCAAGCAGCTGCTGGAAGTGAAGGTTCCTGCTCACTTGGCTTTGCTTTAGCAATCTGGGGTTTGGTTTCTTTGCCAGGCAAAGACTTTTCTCCTTCAGCTTCTTTGACAGTGGGGGTGCCTTCCACTTTGGGTTGCTCAGGCTTTTCCGGCATAGAAGGCCTGATATTTCTTTTCACAGGATTTGCTTTTGGAGATAATTGAGCCTGCTGGACATCTTTCTGGGAAGGCGGCTGGGCTGGGGAAGGGAATTGCTTTGATGGGGGCCCAGATGGAAGACCTGACGACTGAGCCCCTGGCTGCCCTCCTGTGGAGATTAAACTGGAAGCCTGGCTGAAAATGGAAACCCCAAATCCAAAGAGCTTCCCAGTCATGGTTTCTTGAGAGGTTGTCACCTGTGGCTTTGGGGCATCAGTGATATCTCCTACAGTAAGACTGAAGTGCTGAGATGGCTCTGGCATCATCTGTGGCTGCTGGGAAGGAGCTTGTGGCTGAGATGGAGCAGGCTTTTGACCTGCGGGAGTCTGCCGCCCTTTGAGATCCCGCTGGGCATCTGGCTGAGGGTTCACATGTGGTAGTGTTTTCTTAAAACTTTCTTTTGTTTCCACAATTTCAGCTTCCATTTGAGCTTTAACATCCAGACTAGGCCCAGGCTGAGAAACAGCTTTGGGGTCAGGGTTCTGCTGAGACAACTGTGGCAAGGTTTCGAAATCCGCAGGGGCTGCATGTTGAACTGGCTTGGCAGTCTCTAATCTCTGAGGATTCACCTCTTTCGGCTGGGATGATGTTGCCTGGGGAGCAGGGGCATCTTGCTTGGTCTTTGAAGCTACCAGTGTAGGCACAGCACCACCTGTGGGTCTTTGCATTCTTGATTGCTTCTGTTTATCTTCCATCAATGGTGGTTTGGCCTGGCTGGATTTAGGTGGGGTTTCCACAGGTTGAACTTTGGCCACTGGAGTTTTCAACGGAGTTGGTGGCTTTTGGGGTTCTGGTGACTTAGTCAGGCTCGGCTTCTGCAGCTGGAAAGGTGGTTTGGCTGCTGAGGGTGGAGCAGGAATCTTCTGCTTCGGTGAGGAGAGCTGTGGTCCAGGCCCGTGAACTGGTGCGAAGTCACCACCTAACGCTCTTTGCATCTGGCAGTTTAAGCAGAGCCATTCTTTAACCTGAATGAACAACAGAAGTTTAATTAGGTAGAATTAAATAATGAATGCTGAAAATACCAGAACTTCATATTCCAAAAAGGAGCTGTGTCACTTCATCAAACCCACCTTTTGTTCCCAAGTGTACTTCAACAAGAAGATTACTCCCTTTGGGGGTGGGGGGAAACATAACCAATACTGTTGTATTGTTCCACATTAGCTTATCTATTTATTAGATATCTACTATTTTAACAAAAGTTTTTGCAAACAATCATTTAAAGACAAAAAAACAAACTGGAAGTTTGAACAAATGTTCTGAAGTGGTCCAAATGTCTCAAAATGTCTTGCACGGTAGCATGTACATGTTATTCATCTGATTATCTGATTCAGCCCCAACTGTCTACATCAAGCAAGGCAATGTTGACATAGGTAAGAGAATAACTTCTCAATGAATTGTCACCTTCTTTGTGTATCTCACCACTTGCTGGACATCCAAAACTATGTACTAACAGATTCATTTAGATTTAACTGAGAATATGTCAAAAAGTAAAACTTTCTATGCCCACCTCAGTCCCTCAGCTAGGATTGCCACACATGGCCTGGTACCCAGTGGGAGATGAGGGGAGGCAGGGCCTTACTGCGGGGGGGGGGGGGAATCAATATTTGTCATTGTGTGATGTCATCCCTCCGGTGTGACCTGGAACCTCTGGCATTGTGCTAGGATGAGCTGGAATTCATTTCAAAACTCTATGGATTTTCTGCACAAGTACTAGAGCATCTCCCCAGTGTAAAGATGGTGTTTTTGAGTCATGCTGGAAATGATGTCATTGAATGGTAATAGGGTTGCCAAGTCAGAAACTTACCGGAGCGGGGGTCTCCCGGTTGGCGTCTGGAGTGTGTGCGCGCTGCATCCACGTCACCCAGAAGTGACGCGGGTATGCCGGGCACCCTGGGGGCAGGGCCAGGACCATCCGAGGGAAAACCATAGAGCCCGGCATACCCCCAACGTGCCCGGCGTACCTGCGTCACTTCCGAGTGACATGCATGTGGGGGTGGAGTTCCCTCCGGGGCCCGATCGGGCGGCGGCGGGGAACGGGCCTCTGGGGCGGGACTTGGCAAGCCTAAATGGTAATGAAGATTGCTGTGTCCTCCCACCACTTTGCCAGCCTGCTTCTGTCTGCCAACCAGATAAGCATCAGTAGGCACCATCAACAATTACTAGGAATTTGTCCACCATTAGTGGGTACCTGGTAAGCCTTCCCTCAGCTGGAGCAAACAGTCTATTGGCTGAATCACAGGATGGCCATTGCTGAACTGGTGGCAACAACAGCTGAGATGTGTGTTGGCTGCAGCTATGTATCTGTTGTGATGCTGGACCGGGCTCGGCTATTTTGGACATTCATCAAACCTGACATTCTCATATTCATAATATTACAAAATATTCATTGTAATATATAGTTATTGTACCTTTCAACAAATTAGGTAAGCTAAAGTGTGTGCATGTGTGTATGCATGCAAATGTAAATGTTCCAAAATATGGGAGAGTTCCCTGTGATTTTTTTTTGGGGGGGAGGGATAAACTTTGGGGCAAACTAAATATCTGCAATACCCAGGTTTTTTTCCAAACCAAATCCTATTTTACTGCCTTAACAATGTAAAATGCCTCATTCATATCTTAAACACATAAAACTGCACTACTTTGTACGCACTTATGCAAGTTCAAAGTATGAATGCCTTAGCTTTGTTCACTGCAAAATTCTATACTTTCTATTTCTCTGGTGTGCGCCAGTTTGGTGTAATGGTTAAGTGTGTGGACTTTAATCTGGGAGAACCAGGTTTGATTCCCCACTCCTCCACTTGCAACTGCTGGATGACCTTGGGCAAGCCATAGTCCTGTCAGAGTTGTTCTCTCAAGGACAGCTCTGGAAAGAGCTCTCTCAGCCCCACCTACCTCACAGGGTGTCTGTTGTGGGAAGGGGAAGGAAAGGGAGTTTGTAAACCGCTCTGAGATTCTGAGTGAAGGGCGGGGTATAAGTCCACTCTCTTCTCTTCTGTTGTTGTGAAGGCTACAGGACACCCATACACACCATGGGGATCAGGCTCCAAATACCAGGAGCTTTACAGGTGGTATCATTTACATGCTCCTCTGGCTTATATTCAGAAAATTAATCACTAAAATGGAAAATAAAACCTTTCCCTAGATTCTTAAAACCTATTATGACCCACTCTGACCAGCCCTGTGACTTTGAATCCTCAGGGGCAGAGCCTGAGGAACCAAGGCTGATGGCTGCAGAGGACTAGAGGGACTGATTGATGACCAAGGAGGACCAGAGGGACCACGGAGTGTCCAATACAGCAAAGGTGCCTGCTCACAATGTTCCAGCAGCACAAGAGGCCACCCTGCCAGAGCCTGCAAAAAAGACCTCGCCAGTAGCCCAAGATAGCCACCAGGCTTCTGCTGAGCAGGATGCAAACCCTGACCTATAGTCCCTCAGGGGCCAATCCCACTCTGCAGAAACAACAGCACAAGGCTCCGGCCAAGATAGTGAAAAGGAGGTAAAGTGCCGGACTGGCTGCGCACAATCCCACCATGGATCTACAGCAGTGCTCAGAGTAGTATTTCTTTGTAGGATCTTTGCCAGGACATAGCAGCCTCAGGATCTAAAGCACCTGCCGGCAGTGCAGATGGGCTCAATTACCTCCCAGCCTATGTACGCTGAGGCCTGGAAAGCCTACCTTGCTGGATCAGCCAGTTCTCTAGGCATGAGCCTCATGTCACCAGCTCCAGCTCTTTGAGCCTGGCCAGCCCCAACTTGACAGCAGGGAGCAAACAGTTGATCAAGTTTTTACAGATGGTGAACCTGGCTGCTGAAAATGAGGCACTTTAGGGCTCAGGTGAGCCTTCTGAGCCATCAAGCATACAGGAACAGCTCCAACAGCAGGCATTCTTACAGGCACCTCCACCTGTCCCCCCAAGGGAATGCTCTGGCTTGCCTAGGAAGATTTCCTGGAGCCAGTGACAAATAGTTTTTCAGTCAACCTTCCTGCCAAATGTATTGCAATGTCCCTGCAACAGCACTGGCATCTACTTCTCTGGCACTGGACTTAGCCAACCTTCTGCTGGCCTGTCATGACTATACCAATGTCTTCAGCCCCAAGGAGGCTGATGCCCTCGCTCTGCACCAACCATATGATTGTGCCATCGACTTTGTCCCTGGAGTGCCAACTCTGGCTGGTTGTTTAAATTCCCTTTTAGAGTCTGAACTGGTTGCCCTGAGATAATTTTTGGATAAGAACTTGGAGAAAGGTTTGATCCAACCTTTGACCCCCAGCAGCCACCCCGGTCCTCCATAAAAAAAAAAAATCTAGGTAACTGCCTGTGCAATTATTATTGGGCCCTGAACAAGATCACTATATGCAACAACTATCCGTTTCCCTTAATTTCTGAACTGTATGACCATCTCCAGGGAGTGGCCAAATTCACCAAATTAGACCCCCAAGGGATATACAATCTGGTCTGGATCTAGGAAGGAGATGAGTGCAAGAGTGCCTTCTGAACTTGGTAGAGTCACTTCAAGTACACTATGTCATTAGAGTTATGAAGTGCTCTCACAATCTTCCAACATTTTATGAATGATGTATCTCGAAACCTGATCGATCGTATATATAATCAAATATCTAAATGACATCTTGATAAGGATCTTGCCCTCCACACCTCTCAGGTATGCTCAGGCTGCTCCATCAGCATGGCTATGCCAAGCTTGAGAAACAGGCCTCCAAACTGACACATGTAAAATTCATGGGGCTTATCATCTCCCTGCAGACACTCAGGATGGATCCTCAGAAGACAAAGGCAGTCTTGGAATGGCATGCCCCCCAGAATGTGAAAGAGCTCCAGCGTTCTTGGGATTCACAAATTACTACTGCCACTTCATCCCTAACTTTTCCATGTTGACTTTACCCCTGACCTATGTGCTTTGGAGGTAAACACTGTTAACATGGGAAGCTGAAGCCCAATAGGCATTCCAGCAACTGAAACACCTGTTAACTGTAGACCCCGTTCAGGCATATCCTGATCCCAACCTGCCTTTTATTGTGAAAATGGATGCTTCCCTCCCCCTTTTTGGGGCTGGAGAGTCCATTTTTAAAGTGGCTGGTGGTTCTTTTTTCTTGTGGGCTGGAAACAGAAGGGGGAAACTAACATTTGCCAGCCAAGGGTGTCAGATTACAGCTCGCTAAGGCAAAAGCTCTCTCCTCCTCCCCCCCTTTTTAACCATAGAGAAGGGATTTGTTTGCTAGGGAGACAGGAAGAAGGGAGGAAACTCCTAGGCATGCTTTGGGAGATTTCCCAGTGGTGCTCTGAGTGGCACTGTGACCAGTTCCTGGGCGGGGAGCAGCATTTTTAAATATGCCCATTTGAGGAAGAAAGAGAAGTTAGTGATGCTTCTTCGAAGGGGACAGATCTCTGAGCTATCGTCAGTTGTGGCGGCCATCTTTTCCAGACTATGCAGCCATTCAGGTAAATAAAACAACAAGGAAACAATCCTGAAACATTGTAAGCTTTAAATGCCTGCTCTATTCCTTGTAATGTCTAGCTAGGGCATGTGTAGGAACCAGGGACAGAAGGATGCATTTATAACCACATTTCCTTTGTCCCTCTGGTTGCTGATCTGATGCTGTACTGAAAGTATGCTTGTAAACTTTTCCTTTTTAATAAACATTTTAATATTTTGATGCTGGTAGTGGATCTCTGTACCACATAGTTTCCCAAACCATGTTTGGACATGCTATTTTGCAAGAGGGACCCCCAGGGAGGAGGGAAGCTGTCAGTGTGCAAGTGGCCAACTCTCCAGGGGAGCCCCAAAGCAGCATTTGGTCTCTGTGCTAACCAGGCACTGGGTAGCACGAGACCTTGAGGCTTCAGAACTAGGAAGGGGAACTGAGAGTCCTGTTCCTCTCAGCGGGGACCCCTAGAATGAGCAGATGGTGGCAGTGAATACCCTAATGGAAGGAAGAGGAATAGC